CACTTCAGCAGCTAGCATGAGGTCTGTTGCCGGTCTGGTCCAGTGCAGTAAGTCATGGACATTCCATCCCCATTCCAGGAGGTAGGCTATTGTGGCTGCCATGGGGCCTTTGACAGTGTACCAAGGGTGCTGCTTGGCCTGCAGGCTGTCAAGGGTGGCCGTCCAGGCTTGCTGTAGCTGTGGGAGTTGGTCTGCTGGCCAGGCCTGGATGAGCTTGTGCATGGCACGGATGTGATGGATGATGATTTGGTCTGCCGGGTCCACATATTTGTTTTTGTGGATGTCATACGTGACGTCAAGGATGCCTCCTTTGTGGTGTCCCACCTGTTTGGCAAGTGCCTGTCTCAGGGCTTGTCTGTACCTGGGTGCCAGTCCTTGACTTTCAACCCCCCAGACGGCAACTGGGTGGATACCGCCCCTGTGAAGCCGGAGTCTGACTCGAAGTGCGGGGATCTTCAAGTTTCTCAGCTTGAGCTTCCGCTGGTGGGCTTTGTGCATTCGTTGCTTCATGACAGGGATGCGTCTTGCTCTTCCGGCTTGGTGGTCTATGCCGAGGTCTCTCATGACCGGGGCGACTGGTGGCTCTTCCTCTGTGAGGATGTCTTTGAGGGCCTTGTTGACATGTTTGTCTGTGCCTATGAAGGCTGTCTTTTTGGCGCTCACCTTCATGCCTAGCTGTGTGAGCTTCTGGTGCAGGTCGCGGTAGGCATCTACGGCCTGTTGAGCAACTCCGTGTGGTGTTGTACCTGCTGTGTCATAGCCAATGTCATCCACCCAGCTGGATAGATGGATGTATGGATGCTGTGCATGCCATGGTGCCAATGCCGGTGTGAGGACAGCCTTAGCCAGTAGTGGGGCTTGTGGGCAGCCTGCAGGAACTCCTTGATCCACATGGAAGAAGGGTGTCATTTCCTGCTCTGCAACGATGGCTTTGGGACCAGTGTAGAGCTGCATGGCCATCTCAAGCATCAAAGGTGGGTAGTTGATGGCCATGGCTTGGTCTTGGAGTTGTTGTAGTCTGATGGTGTCATAGAAAGTTGACAGGTCCATGAGGACTGTCACCCCATGGCGTTTGTTGGCTCGATGGACCTCCTGGCGTAGGAGTCGCTCAAGTGCAACCTGCAGCACCTGAGCTCCTGGTCTGGCGCGGTCGTGGTTCATAAAGTCCGGGAGGTCTGCTTGCCAGGCATCGAGGTTTGCGGAGGCGGCGCCATAACCTGTACAAAGTGGAGGTCAAAGTGATTGGGCGCTCAATGGTCGGGTTTTTGGCCAGCATAACCACCATGTGCATTTGCAGCTGTGTGGGCATCTGTGCACTCTGTTCCATTTCCTGGATGAGTTTGAGCAAGGGCCCCAAGGCAAGTGGTGGTGCTGATCGCAGTAGTTGAGCTGCTGCATCTGGGCCGCTGGCTTTGTCAGGTAACCCTTTGATGGTGCGGCTAAAGTATCCCATTGTGATGGGTGGCAGTGCCAATGCCTGTCGTTGAGCTTGCTCTCGGAGGCTGGTTCTGGGCGCCGGGTTGTTGTCCTCTCGGATGTGCCACAGGGTTCCCCAGTCAGCGAGGCGTTGAGTCATTCTTTTGTCTGGTTCAAGATCTCGGTATGGTCGTTTCCAGGGCACCTCGCTGCTTTTGAGGCTTCGGAAGAGGCCCTTGAGCCCTTTGGCATGGCCTTGGGTTAGCCAGGTTTTGTATTGGAGATGCAACTCATCATTGGCTGCCTGCTGTGCTTCTTGCAGTTGATGCTGCATTGTGTGCTGGATCAGTTCAGCTGCATGTTGGTCTTTGTATGTGTGCCAATGGTGACAAGTGTCCAAGAATTGGCTCCAGGTGGGCGGTCCCAACCATTTGGTCTGGATGTCTTTGATGGCCCTCATGAAGCCCTTGGTCGGCCCTCCTGCTTGTGTGACTGGTTGTTGTTGAGCAAGGCGGAATCTTGCCTGCATTTGTTCCCAAAATGCAACCTTGCCCTTTTTCCAGGTGCCACCTGGCTTGGGTGCTGCTAAGGGCTTGATGCTCACGTTGAGGTTTGCCCCCCGCCCTCGAGCTGCCCATGGGTGTTCCTGTAAAAGGTACTGCTCTGTGGATGAGAGCCAGTCCGCCCAGGCCTGTGCTGATTCGTTGACAGGGATGTTGTAAAGA